CACAATGCAATATAACAAACAAAGTACAAATTTACCCACGGTATGAATGACTCTTACAATATAGAGTTGAGATTCTTATAAAGTGGAAGTCAGACACAAAACAGTGCATACTGTATGATTTCATTTCTATAAAGCTTAAAAGTAGGTAAAAGTAATTTATGTTAACTCAAGACAGCAGCAGTAACTGAAGAAGGCAGGAGGGGGCTTCTGGGGCACTAAAAATATTATATTTCTTGACCTGCATGCTGGTTACACAAGTACATTCAATTTCAGAAAAATCATCCAGTTGTATACTTAAGACATGTAAACTCTTCCTTATGTGCGTTGTTTCAATAAAAAGTATTGGGTTTTTTTTATTTTTTTAATGTTTTATTTATTTCTGAGAGAGAGAGAGAGAGAGAAAACGTGAGCAGGGGAGGGTCAGAGAGAGAGGGAGACACAGAATCCGATGCAGTCTCCAGGCTCTGAGCTAGCCGTCAGCACAGAGCCCGATGCGGGGCTCGAACCCAGGAACCGTGAGATCATGACCTGAGCCAAAGTTGGATGCTTAACTGACTGAGCCACCCAGGCGCCCCTAAAAAGTATTGTTTTTATGTAGACAAAAAGGCAAAGACACAGAGCAACAAAACATGAATTTGGTATTAGAGATGTATTTGTCGATGAAGAAGAAAACCTCATCCATCCTTTTCTAGAAGACTAAATGAAACTCCCAAAGATTGAGGAAGCATATTTATATTTTATTACTGAGATACCTACAAAAGATTCCCATCACAGGCCAAACAATCAACCTAAAGGAAGGAAAGACTGCTAAATAAATGTTGGAAAGGTAAAAGAAATTTCAAAGTAAAAGAAGCTAAGAAGATTGAATCAAAACTCCTACAGGACTATTACAAAGGCTCTGTGTGTCAGTTTAATTAGAAGTGTTTATTTCTCTTGGTGAACATTTAAAAAATGGTGAATCTTAACAACTGACATCTTGGATTAGGCTATTTTCTCTTTTCTTACTTGTCTGCCAAATACAAGCCAAACACAATACAATGACTGCGGAGGTTGTAAAAATGAAACATACAGGTCCCTGCCTTTATAAGATTTATCATATAGATGACAGAGGTTAAGACAGCCACAAAAACAGCTACTACAGCTTTAGAATGGTACCAATGGCGGGCACCTGCATGGCTCAGTGGGTTAAGCGTCCAACTTCGGCTCAGGTCATGACCTCACGGTTCATGGGTTTGAGCCCTGCCATGGGCTCTGTGCTGACAGCTCAGAGCCTGGAGCCTGTTTCAGATTCTGTCTCTCTGTCTCTCTCTTTCTTTCTCTGCCCCTCCTCTGCTCATATTCTCTCTCAAATATTAAAAAAAAAAACACTAAAAAAATTTTTTAAAAAGAATGGTACTAGTGGTATAAGTATAAAGTTTTGTTTTTTCAAAGCACACAAAAAGGGAAATCTCTTCCTGCTAATGTTACAAAGTATAAGAAAGCTTTTCAAAGCATCCGGACTGTGCTGTCCAATACACTATCCATGTGCCACTTGTGGCTATTTAAATGAAAATTAAATAAAATTTAAAATTTAGTTCCCCAATATTACTTAACCACATTTCAAGTGCTCAGCGGCCACATGTGGCCAGTGACAAATGTCCTGGGCAGTGCACAGAACACTGCCAGCATTGCAGTACTAATCTGCAGTATTCCGAAGTTAGAAAGAGGCACAGTGTTTAAAAACACTTTTTAAACTTGTGTCCATTTTTCCATATTTCCTTTGACATCACAATGGTAAAACTGCCCACTCTGGTCTGGGGACCAGACTAAAAATATAAACCTAAGGAAAACAGCTGAAGCCTTAAAGTCGTATGAGTAAAAAAGAACATTCAGAAACTCACCAGACTTCAACTTAGTTCACCAAAATGAAAATTTACCCAAAGCCTCAGCTAGAAATAAATGAAGCATTATCTTGCCTAATCTTTAACAGCTAATGAAAGACTGGGGGTTCAGGATACAACTTAGAAGTCAGTCAATAAACATACTACTAGAGGAGTCCATTCATTAAGAAACATTTGCTGAGTATGTGCCACACATAACCCATAACCAGGAGGAAAAAGAGCATTAAGTCACTAACTCTATTCAGGAAATATTACAACAGCCTAAAAATCACAAACTCCTGGAGCCCCTGGGTGGCTCAGATGGTTAAGTGTATGACTTCAGTTCAGGTCACGATCTTGCAAGTTCTGAGTTCAAGCCCCACGTCAGGCTCTGTGCCGACAGCTCAAGAGCCTGGAGCCTGCTTCAGATTCTATGTCTCCCTCTCTCTTTGCCCCATCCCCACTCGCACTCTGTCTCTCTTTGTCTCTCAAAAAACGAATAAACCGCTAAAAATTTTTTTTTAATGACAAACTCCTAAGCAGAAAAAAAAACAACAAATTCTGCTTATCTGTGGTTCTTCAGAAACAGAAAGAAGAGAGGTGACAATGGGCCATCTCCAGCATGTTCTCTGAGAGTAACTGATTCCTATAAGACCCAATTAATCTGAACCAGAGTCCTTTCCAAAAGAAAGAAGAAATGCACTGCAGTTTATCAAACCTATATTAAGCTATAAAAGAAAGAAAAAACAATCCTTGCCAGAAATATCATAATCTCAAAGAATACCCTTAAAAGGAAACATCAACAAATCAACATTTATCAAACAACTGCCAAGAAGTACACTGGGAGCTAGAGGCACAGACTTAAAGATGGTCCAGCAGTCTCTTGCCCTCCCAAAGCTTTCATCTACTCTGGGCGATGAATGTTCATGAACAATTACAATGTAAGCAAATGGTGTAGGTGGCATATGAAGTGGCCATGAAACAATTGTAGTACAAACTGTAAGTTAAAAGGACTTTAGGGGCGCCCAGGTGGCGTAGTTGGTTAAGTGTCCGACTTTCGCTCAGGTCATGATCTCGCGGTTCGTGGGTTCAAGGCCCGCGTCGGGCTCTGTGCTGACTGCCAGCTCGGAGCCTGGAGCCTGTTTCAGTCTGTGACTCCCTCTCTCTCTGACCCTCCCCTGCTCACGCTGTCTCTCTCTCTCTCTCCTAGAAATAAATAAAACATTTAAAAAAAAAGAAACAACAGCATTTTTAAAAAAATAAATAAATAAATAAAATAAAAGGACTTTAGAAGTCTTTTGTGCACATACTTGTCTGATTCCATTCTACAATATTTTTATAAAACATGTATTCAATCTAAGAACTCCAGGGATGAAGATATCCCAGCCTCACAGACAGTTCAGAAGCAGTGGAAGATAGGAGCCCAAAAAAGTTGAAGAGTTTACATTCAAAGAGATGATGTTTAAAAATATGAACTTGAAAGTCACGTGACAGCAACTAAATACAATACCAATTATGAAGAACAATACACTAAAGGAGCACAATTAGCACAGTGTTCACTATGACACATATCCAGAGAAAAAGCAATGGGATGTTGTAAAACCATTACCAACAAGAGTTTTGATGATCAAAGGGGATGGGGGGGAGAATAAATCAAGGTGAAATTGTATTCTATCTGCCCCTTAAACCACCCACTCTTCCCCAGCTCTCCCTGGTCTGTAGGACACTTTTATTTTCACCTGAGCCAAGAGAGGAAGAGAAACTGATATTGATTCATTAGCTACTATTTGTCAGTCACGGTGCTAATGATTTCATATGTCACTTAATATATGTAGAATAAGAGCTATACTGGGGATTGGAGCTCCTCAGAGGTGGGCTCAAGGAAACTGTCTGGCCTAGGAGCCAAATTTATTATGCTATTTTAGAGACATTTAGAAGGCAGCTTGATAAAGAGGAAAGAGTAGCAGAGACCTAAAGACAGAGGTCTGCACTTGGGATCTGGTCCTGCAGTTATGTGACTGCAAAACTTGTTGCACCTCTCTGGATGTCAGTTTCTTAAGACCTACCCCATCTACCATACAGATTGTTATAAGGATCGAAATGGAATGAATACATACCTGCTTATTCATCTAACAAGTATTTGCGAGGCATCTATATTATTCTAGACTCTAGGCAAGGTCCATGCTCTCCTGGTTATATTCTCTAGTAGGTGAGAGATAGATAATCAACACAAACAAATGAGTAAATAAGAATTTCCCAGAGTGATGAATGCTCTAAAGAAATAAAACAGGTGATGTAGAAAGACTGACTAGGAGAAAGGGAACCACTTTCAATGGAATAGTCATAGAAAGCCTAGCCAGAGTTCTATAACTGAGACCTCAGAGACGTCTTCGGCTAAACAAAGAGCTGGGGACATAAGAAGTAAGACAAGCTTAGCATATTTGAAGCACTGAACAAATGAGGTGTGTCCAGAACATAATGAATAAGGGAAAGTATTAAGAGAGAAGGTGGAAAAGTGGATGCAGGCCAAATCCAGTATGGTCTTGGACCATTAAAAGGATATTATAGTTACCATAAAGCTTTTTTTTTATCAACGTGGCCCAATAAACTGAGCCATTTATACAAATATCTCATGTATACATTGTCAAAAGTAGAATGTTTCCAACTTCCTAACTTAGCAACGTCATCACTAAAAAACAAGTGCAAGGATCCTATACAACGGCCCTCACATGAAATTTATAACAACTATATCTAAACACAGACATCATTTATTATGTTTGGTTAAGTCACATAGTAGGAAAAAAAAAACAAACAGAAACAAAAACAAAAAAACAAAAAAACCTCTATAGTGAATAGAACTGACAGAATTATACATTTGAATTTTTAAAAACTGAAGTTTTAACAGAAAATATCAGTTCATTCAGCAAACATTTATCAAGCACCTACTATGTGCCAGGTACTTCCTAAGCACAAAAGATACAGCAAAATAAATCAATGAAAATTTAAGCAATAACTAAGTCAAGATAGAGCTGTAGAAGTAACATAACACCAGAACTGAATTTGAATTTCTGTTTCCGCATTTTCTGAAACAGGAGTTGTAGGCTTACTTAGTCAAGTGTACCTGTCAGAAAGCAAACTTACCAAGGAATTCTTAATCACTTCACTTCTATAAAATTCTGGAAAAGAAGAAAACAACAATAAGTGATATGAAAGAAAATAAGCTCATTAACTCTTAATCCTGTAAATTTTTAACATATGTTCCAGGAAAACATTTATAATATTTTCAAGGGATCTAATTACTCTAGATTTTCTGCCAAAAAAAAAAAAGTATTCTTCTGCAAAAAAAATAAAAAAATAAAAATTAAAAGATTTTAAAGGAAAAAACAGTAATAAAGAAAAATCAAAGTTTGTTAAGATTTAATTTAGTAAATTTTACCCCAGATACAAATATGAGCTCTTAAAAATTTAGACTTTCTTCTTTTCTACTTTACTGCCATTCTGCAAAAACTGATTCCATCTGCTCTGTTTTTCTCAAACATCTCTAATACGACCATCCATCATAGTACTGTGGAATGGACTTGTCTCTTTAATTTCCTTGAGCCCATCTTTCATTTGACAACTTAGAGAATTAGACTAATAACCAAAGGTCCTCCTGTAAGCTTAGAAATGTCATGATTCTACAAACCTTCAAGTATACCGTACATGTTACAAACCCTGAAGGCACAATGAAAAGAGAGAAATGTGTCAGACGTTCACGCACACACTGCCTCTTCTGACTCTGCTGAAGCCACCATTGGGATGCTCTGCCTCTCAAGCGCTTGCGAAGACCCTGGTATCCTTGTGTGGCCAAGAGAGAAACTTCTCAGATGTGATGCACATACCACTGGTACCTGAGATGATCTTAGGTGATTCACAGACACACTTTTTTCTTATGTATTTGAATTTACGTTTCATATATTCATCAACCCCCAACTGTGAGCTCTGAAAGAACAGCAGCATTTGTTTTGTACAACCGCTGTCTCCTCAGCATGGAAACCATCCCTGGCACAGAGGAGACCCTCAATAAATATTTCTTGATCAAATGAACAATTTTACTTAGATAAAGTATGCAACCATATAGATGAAACTCACATACAGTGAAACGTGTCCGAGAAGTCCACTAATGACTGAAGCTTGCGACCAGCCAGGAATAATTGAACAGCAGGCCTATGCACACATAAAACTCTTAAGGGCAAGCTCTTCTGGTTAAAGCACTTCCTTCCTGATACACTATTTATATTTCTGTAAGTTTGCCTTTCTTACTAAAAAGATAAGGATGATTATTCTATTCTGTGGAGAGATACTCAACAACATATTAAGTGGGGAAAAAAGTTCTAAGCTAGAATTTACAATGGGATCCAAATTTTTATAATTATGTTAATAACATTTATCCTAGGTGACAGATTTAGGCTGCTAACTTTTCTATTTGGCAGTTTCTATGATTCTATTTTGAACAATTATTTAAAATAAGAAAACAAAATTCTGGGGTGCCTGGGTGGCTCAGTCAGTTAAATGTCAGACCTCAGCTCAGGTCATGATCTCACGGTTTGTGGGTTCGAGGCCCGCGTCAGGCTCTGTGCTGACAGCTCAGAGCCTAGAGCCTGTTTCAGATTCCGTCTCCCTCTCTCTCTGTCCCTCCTCCACTCATGCTCTGTTTCTCTCTGTCTCAATAATAAATTAACATTAAAAAAATAAAAATAAATAAAATCAATGGGAAGAAAGATATTCCTCTTTTCTTTAGAGAGAATTCCTCAATTTAATCTGCAAAGTGTCTAAATCAATCAGTTCTCAAAATACATATCTTTAGCTCTAAGAAGAGCTATTTCTTCCAAAACTCTGCTGAATAAATATATATATAAAAGAAACTAAACAATCTCCTTTCTCCATTAGACCTTCAAAATAGACTTGCTAATTTAAATGGAGAGAGGTCAACCAAAAAAAGCCATATAAAAAATCATGAAGTCCGGGATAACTTCTACACTGTCCACCATTCTGTTACACCTAAAATACTGTCAATAAAATTAGCAGCATGGGTATAAAACATAATAGTGAATGGAGGAGAATTCAGAACCAAAAAATAGTTCCAATCCCCAGTCTACCTATAAGCTTTACAAATCAATTAACCTTTTGGGCTACATAGTTTCTTCGCCTTTCAAAGGACAATGGGGGTGCTTGGGTGGCTCAGTCAGCTGGGCATCAACTTTGGCTCACGTCATGATCTCACAGTTCATAGGTCTGAGCCCCACATCGGGGTCTGTGCTGACAGCTCAAAGCCTGTTTCAGATTCTGTGTCTCCCCCTCTCTCTGCCCCTCCCCTGCTCATGCTCTGTCTCTCTCTGTCTCAAAAATAAATAAACATTAAAAAACAATTTTTCTCAGAGGAAAATGACATGTGGAAAATAACAAGGTTACTGTGAGGCTCAAATAAAATACTGAATCAAAAACACTTTATAAGTTGTAATTTTTACTAACACTGTTCTATTAATTTTTATTAACTCAATTTAAGCAAAACTATTTGACAAGTCAATTTTCAAGTCATCCAAGACCTCTTTCTACAAGAAAGGGACCATTAGATACAAATGCTTCTCTATCCATGCTAAGTTAAGACCTAAGAAAAACAAAGCAATTAGAGAATGTAGAGCACGGGTTCAACTTCATGTTTTGGCTGTTATGCAGCATTCCATTCATTCAACAAATGCTTTTTTTAGTACCTCAACCTCACTCATTAAGGAGGAATGCAGACTTAAACTATGCTATAAAATTATTTTTCACCTATCAGATCGGCAGAAATTCAAAAGTTTGATTGCGCAGTCTATTGGTGAGCCTGTGAGGGGAAAGGCACTCATATATACTAAGTGGGAACGTAAACAAAGACAATTTTGCAATATCTACTGAAACTATAAGTACACATTCTTGGTACTTCCGCTTCTTGGAAATTTACCCCATAGCTAAACTAGCACTCATACAAAATAATGTCCTTATGAAGTTATTCAAGGCAGTACTGTGTATAACAAGAACCACCTAAATGCCCACTAATAGTGTCCAGTTAAATAAATGATGGTACATCTATTCAATGCAAAACTATTCAGAAAAAAAAATACGGGAGCTCTCTATGAACCAATATGGGAAAACATCTAGGGCATTTTAGGTGAAAAATGAAAGGCACAGAAACATATATAGTTTGGTACTGTTTTTAGTTGTGTTTGCCTAAAGAATCTCAGAAAAGAGAAACGAGAAATGTTGAACAGAGGTTTTTAGGCTGGATAGAAAACTAGGAAGATGGGACAGGCAAAAGAGAGATTTTAAGCCTTTATATATATTTTGAACCATGACTGCACAGCTATTCAAACAATCAAATGAAAAAAATATACAAGGGCTTACTATGTGCCAAGCATTGCTCCAAGTGCAGTGAACAAAACTAACCTAAGATTTTCTAGATGATATAGAGTTAATCTTCTGATGTATTCAAAATAGCTGGCTGGCATTCCAGGAATGGACAGGAACTCACATTTCAGGGTAAAAAAAAAAAAAAAAAAAAGAACTATGTCTAAAGAACAAACTTGACTTTACAAAATTCCAAGTTTAAGAGGGAGTCACAATTAGAACCTAGCTCTTCATCCATTAATACAAGGCTTTGTTATCTGGGGATGTGATGATGTGAACTACCTAAAGAGTAGGCAATCTCCCAAGAGCACTAAAAGATGTCAAAAGTCAAAAAAATCTCACACGTAACTTCTCAGGATCTGCTGTGAATTCAGCCAAAATAAAAGAATAACTTAGAAATCAGTATTTGAAATATTCTTCCCCCAACCTCCCAAAAAACTTTCTTTTAAAACTAAGAAATGATGTCACTAAACAGGTGGTACAGTGGTTTTGTGAAAAGAGCCAACTGGCCCTCTACTGTGATCATCCTACATGGAGGGCCACATAATGATCATGAAATGAATATTTGGGCTTGTCATCAGGGCCCAATAAGGTAAGGGGGATTAACTAGGCTTTCTAAGGAAAGAGCTTCCTGGCCTCTTCTATGGTAACAAAGTTACCATAAAGTTTATAACTTTTAACAAAGTTATAAAGTCTAACTTGTGCGCCCAAAAGAGGACCACAGATAGACTTCATTCAACCATGACATTTTGGAGTAAGAGTAACACCCAGAATTGCCAACTCTCATTTTAGAGACATATTAGGCAAAGCTCACAAGAGGAACTAAATGTCCTGGCCAAGGGACTTGCCAACTAGTGACAGACTCAACACCACTACCAGAGACTTCCCTGTGGTCTATACCAGCTATTCCCTAACTATGGGAACGATCATTTCATTGAGGAAACTTTAAGAAACAGTCTGTGATAACTTCTAAACTCAAGGTGTAATCTGAACTAGAAGAAGATAATAAACAAAACAAAAAAAAAGTGATTTTTGTTTCCACAGCATCTTAGACAACTTTTTTACAAGATGGTCATCAACCAGACCCATGACTACTCTCTTTTTAGAAACTACTACGATGTTAACGTTACAAATTACCAAACACCTAGAATGTGCTAAGTACTATGTTAATTACCATCATCAAAGAGAACAACAGGGCAAGAATATGTAAGTTTTATGAAGATAACCAAGGACTGATTATATAGAAACATATCAAAAATTTAAAACACTCTGGCATTGTCATATACTGCTAATGATGAAACCACTGAGGTCTCCAAAAAATGCTTAAACCCCTAGGACAAATAATGACCAAAACTGTTCCATTTTTCTTCTGGACACATAGGAAGACAATATATCCAAGTCCTTCACCTAAAAAAGGATTTATGGCCAATCAAATGTGATGCCATTTCTGTCATAAAAATCTCCCTCAAATAATCCTCCTCTCTCACCATTCAGTGAGGTATTGATGACAGCAGCGTTCCAAAATAGAAAAAGCCTGGATACCCAAGTCACCACTTAGCGGACAGCTACCAAGTCCGTGCCTGATAAAGAACACCTGCACTGGACTTAGTTTAAGAAATGTATTATGTTACGCCACTGAGATTTGTGGTATTTGTTATAGTAGCCAGCATTAATCATTCAGATTAATACAACTGCTTCTTAAAAATGCAATGTTTATAATGAAAAATAAGAATGAAATAAAAGTATATGACAATGGCAGGATTTGGAGTCTTTTCTCCCTTAAAAATTATTTGAATGTTATTTACATGGTGGTGGTTTGTATTACATAATGCTATTTTCTCACCCTTAAAAAGTATTTTAATGCTATTTACGTTGTGCTACTCTATATAATTCCTGATCAATCTTTTAATGAGCATATATTGGTATTGATATTAAAAAAACAGGGGCGCCTGGGTGGCTTAGTCGGTTAAGCGTCCAACTTTCGCTTAGGTCATGATCTCGCGGTTCGTGGGTTCGAGCCCCGTGTCGGGCTCTGTGCTGAGTGCCAGCTCAGAGCCTGGAGCCTGTTTCAGTCTGTGACTCCCTCTCTCTCTGACCCTCCCCTGCTCACGCTGTCTCTCTCTCTCTCTCCTAGAAATAAATAAAACATTAAAAAAAAAAAAGGTATTAAATGACTGCTGTTTTAATAATGGTTTTTAAAAGTAATTAAAACCAAAAAGATAAGACGTTGTTTAAATTTTTCATCTTTGCCACAGGACAAAATTCAAATAAGCCGTTAGTACCTCTAATTAAAATAACACCACTTTTTGTTAATATAAATAGACCTTCAATCACATCTTACCAAGTGTTATCACCTTAGCTCAGTTGTTCCTCATGAAAATCTGTCTTGCCAATTTCACAAGGCATCATCTCCACTTTACAAATGGAAAACTGAGGTTCAAAAAGACGTGATCTTTGTCCAATGTCACATAGCTAGTAAATGGCTGACCTACTATCTATGTATTTGCAATCCTAATCCAATATTCCTGTCATACACCACACTTGTTTTCTTACACCATCCAACACAGGTCAATGGATTCTACCCAAGCACCTCTCATCCAACACGTATGCAAAAGATACTTGTGATTTTGAATCAAATATTTGGTCTTCTCTCAGAATTGTACTTAGGGAGCAGTCCACAGTAAAATGTGGGCAAATGAATTCAAGGAAACCATGCTATTCTTCTAAAAATGACACCAAATATACACAAGGAATTACAGAGATGAGAAGACATAAGCTGGTCCTAATTTTACCATAATATTTCAACAATTATGTTTTAAAGAAAATAAAGTCAGTACTGTATACTGGACTTGTATATTTTAATGATTCCTACTAGAATAAAAACATTAATAGCTAACATTCATAAATAAATGATAAATTTATCAATTTAAGAACTATCCAGAAGCCATGTTTCTCTTATATACTATATATATTAACTATGGCTCATTAAATATTTTCAGGCAGTATGACAATTTTGCTTTCCAGCAAGCAATAATTACAAAGCAAGAGTCACCAATACTCACCTGTATTACGAAAGAAAAAAGTGAGATGTAATGATCTGTGGGCAAGTCCACAGATTCTCTTACCTTTGTATATCTTTTCAGTACTACACAAGTGAAGTGTGAAGTAGGTGTCGAGGAGCTGATGGCCATTTCTATTAACAATATTCCGAGCAGCAATGTTCCGAAGGTGTCTAAGACGCCGCTAAAAATTAAAAACAACAAAAAAAGGGACACGTTCAGCTTTTTCCTCATAAAATTTTCTGAAAGTTACAATCCAAAAATGAAATACAACTAAGCTATCCCAGTCATTTATTTGCTGAACCAGCAACCTTAACTCAGTCTCTTATTTATGATTCAGTATCCCCTCTGTCAAATAGGAATTACACCTGCCCCATCTCCTTTACGATGTAGTTGTCAGCATGAAATGACACCAGATATAAAATATTTTCATAGAACATAAATGTTATGTTATATAAGTGCTATACACCTGTAAATGGCATTAGCATTTCCTGGAACATAAAGTAGCAATTTGCTTTCTTCCCTTCAGAAGCATACTGGTAGGCATGCAAGTCCATCTCATACCAACAAACAGTTCTTACATACAATTAACCCAGCTGCTTGTTCAGTCTAGATGCCAGGTCATCTGTACCACCAGGAAAAGATGCCTAGCTAAAACATAACTCACTGGTCATTCCAGCCAGCCAATAACCCAACAGGCTGTAAGCTTAAATTAAATCCTCACCTGACCAATAGCCAACCAATCTCTCTTTCCTGATCAGTCCTCCTTCCCAACAATTTCTCCAAGATGCACAAATCATTTGGAGCCTCATGTGTTGAAAAGAGGCCTCCATAATAAGCAAACGCTCTATAAGCAATGGTAGAAATCAACAAAACTGGAAGTTAACAGACAGCCAAACAATAGCATATCAAAAAGAGAAGATGTTGGTGATACTCAAGTCTGTGCCCATCAGATTCATTTCCAAAGGCTAGCTCCCTCTGTCAGATGATTATTTTCAGACTTAAAAACAGAAATCAAGTGCTTAGTTTTAAAATATGCTTCAAGTTCTCCCTTCAGGCTGAAAGACAGCCCAATCTACTAAGGTAAGTCCGTCTTCAATTACATGTGCAATCAGCCAGAAAAGTACAGTTCTTTTTTTCCATGCACATACCAACCTAATCCTTTTCCCCAATCTAACGATTAAGATTCTTTGATAGAGAAGGTTATTGTCTAATAAATTTGTTTAATCCTCTAAGTATGAAAAGTCCCAGATATATTTATGACAAGTTACTAGGGCTTACTCTGACTTATTTTTCCACAATTTGCCAATGGTGTCCATTTCATACTCTGAATTGTAGCAACTATCTCCTCCTATATATTTTTTATTAGCCCTCTCCCTCAAGATTTTAAGTTAACAGGAACCACTAATTACCTATATACAATAACCACATCTATTTTGTTGTAAGATTGCAATCTTGGTCCTCGGTTCAAAGACCTGAAAATATTACTCAAAGTCTTTAGAATAAAGTACAAACTTTCCATATTGCTTTCAAAACCCTGTACAATCTGACCTCTCCAAATCCTATCCTTATTTCTCACTAGATCTTCCACATACCCACCCCTCAGTCACACATGAATGCTTAAGGTTCCATGAAGAAGATCATGCATGTTCCTAGCTCCAGGTTTTTGTTAATGCTAGTCCCTTGATCTAAAATACCATTTTCTTAAAGGAGATCTTACTTCTACTTCAAAGTTTAGGAGAAAAGAGTCCTTCTTCCTGAGTCTCTACCTGAAATTAGTTGCTCCTTTATCTGAATAAATAAAAAGTTTGCTTCTTCTTCCCTATAGCACTTAATTATCATTCAACCTCGTCGTATAAGTAGTTGGTTAGTTATCTTCCCTATTAATCTAGGAGGAAAAGACTTGATGACAGAGACAATTACCATCACTATACTGTCAACACTTATTAAATGCTCACCGTGTGCCATGCACTGTGCTAAACACTTCATACATATGATCTTATTTATTTAACCCTCATAACAACCCCATGAGGTTAGGTTTTATTCATTATCATCATTCATCTCTTTATCCCAACATTCCTACAAAACCAAATATAAAACAGTAAATAATAAATGAGCAGGATAACTCAAAAAAGGAAAGAAAGCAGAGGAAAACAAAGAAATTAAACCTACATATGTAGATATGTATCATACACTATCTCCTATACATATGTGCGTGTGTGTATGTGTGTGTGTGTGTTTATAATTGATACAATTTGGTCTTTACACTCCCTACTGCTATAGGGGACAGAGAGAGCAATGATCTATCCTTCAACTCAAGAGAATAATTTTATGACAAAATAATAATAATGGAACAGACTGCCTTACAAAGCAACGTGCAAGGCCTGGACAGAGAATGAATCTACAGTGGATACACAGATACTGTTAAAGAGGTCTTCCCACTATCTAGGAAGTTGGCAAAACCAGCTTCAAGACACCTTCCGACTCCAAGTTCTAGATTCTAAGATCAGTAATGGAGTCTACAAACATTCACAACCAATGTAACAGTAGTGTTTCCAAGTTTCCCTCCGCTCACTGGGATAAAAGAGAACTGACCACATCACAGCATTTTATAAGGAGATTTACAACAACAACAACTCTTCCACAAATTAACCAATTATACTTAAAGCACTGACTTTGGGTTGTACAACTTTTGGCTTTTTCCCTTATTTTATTTATTTCAAAAGCAGTCGGGTGAGTATTCTCACTACACCATGATTAATTAAAATACAAGATGCTCCCAGCAGCTAGAACAGACAAAGGAAATGAACTCTTTATGGGTAAATTATTGATGTCATCTTGGTGAAAAGGCAGTAAATATACACGTGAACCCTCTTATGCCCTTTGACTTGGCTTCCTCTTTAATGACATTCATTCCAATTTTATTACAAAGCTGCTTTTAATTTTTTTAATGCTAAACTGTGATAAAATGGTGTTTAATTAATAATGATATGCCAATGTTATTTTTTCAGTTTTGACACATGAAAAACGGTAATGTAGAGATGTTAACGTTAAGGGAAATTGAATGAAGGCAATTCTCTGTAATTATTTTAGCAACTTTTCTGTAAATTTAAAATTATTCCAAAATAAAGGGTTTTTTTTAAGCTATTGCTTTTTTCAGAGTTAGGAGGTGAGTAAATAGGACAAAAAGACTGCCAATAAGACGACATTCACAAGCACTACGTAAGTAGAATTCACTTCCTTCCTTTGGTCTCCTCCCTTCTCTCTTCCTCTCCTCCCACCAAAACTTCATGCAATTAAAAAGAAACACTGGAAGGTTAGGCCAGAAACTCATAAAAATGATTACCTGTGGGAGTGAGAGCAAACTGAAGGGAATACAGATAAAAGCAAGACTTCTCTGATACTTGTTTACATAGTTTTGACTTCTGTACCATATAAGTGTCTTCCATACTCAAGAAATAAATAAGAAAAAGTTTAAACTCAACTAAACCTAGTCCAAAATAAAATAGCAATACCAAAAATTACCACTAGTTTTAGGATATATCATCTACCTTCACCCAAATTATTACCCTATGATCCAAGAAGTATGGAAGAAATCAGAGTGACCTAAAGGATCCTCTCTTGTTCTCACTTCCCCACAAGATCTATCTATACTTGAAAAACATGGAAATAGGTTTAGTTCCAAATATTTGTCTATCTTCCCCAACAAGAATATAAATTCTAAGAGGAAGAGACTTTATTTTATTTATAGTTGTATCTCCAGCATCTAGATGACTACCTAAGCAAATAACAGACACAGAGTGTTTTGGTTTTTTATTGAATTCCTAATTCTCCAGTGAATTGACCAGTCAAGAATGTCTTGGTTTGACATAGGCCCTGCAATAGTCCTGAGTGGCATGGAAACCTTAGATTCTGACACCCACCCACCAGTCAGTGAGAAAATACAGAACTAAGAACTGAAAGTGGGGTAAAGTCTTAGCAGTGATTCTGCTACAGCAAATCCCCAAGACTCACCTATTTTCAATTGCTCTAGAGTTTACAGCCTAGTGGTAGTTCTTGGCCTGGTGGCACCAATGAGCATAAATATACTCCTTCTGAACTTACCTAAATAGAATTAAATATCAGACTCTCTCTTCAAATGGCCCACCTACAGACAGTTAAAATCAAATCCGTCTTATGATCTAAATTATCTCAAATATCTCAAGAAAATATAAATATCCTGAGTAATTAAAATTTACACAGACTTTAGAATTCTTCTTTATAACATCCTATGCAGTTTTCTTTACCAGCAATTTCCTTACTTTCTCCAATGTTCTATGCCTTCTGGTTGTAAAATACTCTTTGTGTATCATTCTTTAGCAGTAGGTTGGCAACAGAGTTATGCTCTAACAATATCCACTTCTAAAACTAAAGCTGAACAGATTTTAATTTTGAAATTGGAATTAACATGGCTTAAAATCTTTGAAACGCAATCTATAAAACATCCGGTATAGACACTGAAAACATTCACTAATGTAGAAAATTAAAGTCTATTCAGCTTTAATTTGGAGGGTTGACAGATATAACTGGAGCACAACTCTACTATCTGAGATGCTGGTGGTGAGCAAAAGACCAGTAATGCCCCAAATCCCTTAACATTTTAACAAATCTTTCAGATATAAATTCTAAAACAAGACTTAAGTGGCATGCATTGTAGATTTGAAATGTTTGCTTTATAGTTAAAAAACTAAGAAGTACTCATTAGTCATGATTGAGACTAGTGCCTCTATAGAACCTATTAGGTTGTTTTTCTTGTTAATACTACTAATGTTGTTAGAAAACTGCTTCAAAGCCTATCAGTAGTCTAAAGAAAAGTTTTTTGTTTTGTTTTTGTATTTTTTGCTTGTTCTGTCATGCCCAGCACCTTCTCTGATTAAAACAAAACAAATTAAAAATGCAGATTTTCCTTTACAGAACCACTCTCCCCTACTACCGATCTATAACTTTCTTGCAGAATTAATTCTTCTCCAACTCCAAGGATATTCACATGATGACTCAGCTCATGCTGATCAGCACATTCCATCTCCCTGACCATAACATATGACTTAATTAGGACCACTGAAAGCCTCAGAAATTATATTAAATTTTTGAGGGTTTTTTTTTTTCCACTCTGGCCATGAATCTGGAGGAATATAGGGCTAGAGA